CTCCTCCTGGTTCTCCATTTGGTGTTTCTCTCCTTCCCTCCCAGTCTGCCGTGTCTTCTGCGTCTTCTTTCCCGTCTCCCACCGATCCTTCTTCCCTGCCCTTCCCCTGTCTCTTGGCCCAGCACCCCGACTGTCTGTCCAGGCTGTTGTCCACCATCCTCCCAGCAATCTTCATGTTGATCGCTCTTGTTCTCCTTCTCCTGTTGAGACTATGGAGACTGTCGCCAAGTACGTTGCTGCTGGCACATCTGTCTCTATAAGTCAGAAACGTAAACCTGGCTCTTCTCCTTCTTCCTTCCTGGCGTCGCTTTCTTCCCCACCTCCTCTGACTCCGACTCTAAAACTGCATCCCCTCCCATTTTGGTGGTCGAGCTCCCTGTCCCGGCTATGGAGGTTCTTTTAGCACTCGATTCTCTCGGGGTTGCGAATCCGAATCGAGTGCCCCCCCCCCTCCACTTACTGAGGGGCACTCCCCTGTTTTTGCACCCCCCCCCCCCCTGAATCCGTTGACTGCCCCTCTCCATTACTTCCTCCAGCTCTGGACCCTGTCCGTCCGCCTCTGGTTCGTCCTCCCACTCCCTTGACTCCATCGTCATTGCTAAATTTACCCATGCCCCCTAACCCTGATTTCCCTGATCCTGATCCTGATCTTATTTAGTATACTGTACTATGTTCTTCTTTGCCTTTGTCTCTTCATTGTTCTCTGTTACTGTTCTCTCTCCTTTTGACAATGGCTATTCTTCAATGAAATATTCGTGGATTTTATGCCAACTTCCATGAACTTTAACTTCTGATATCACAGTTTTCACCGCTTTGTGTATGTCTCCAGGAACCGATGCTTGGTGCTCGTCCTGGTCGCTTTCGTGGTTATTTCTTTCTCTCCCCCCCCCCTCCAACTTTTGCTGGGACCCATAACTCTATTGTTCTCTTGATTTGTACTGCTATTCCCATCGTCCCCCTACTTTTTCCGTCGCCTATCCAATGTTCTGTGGCCCATATCTTTGTAAGTAAATGGTATACAGTCTGTTCCATTTATCTCCCCCCCCCCACCAAATGTTCCTCTTTCTCTTCCTTATCTAAAGCACCTGTTGGACTCCTTACCAGAGCCTGTGCTCCTGTTGGGTGATTTCAACTGTCTGCATACTCTCTGGGGGTGATGCTCTGACAAACACCTGAGGCTACCTTCTCGAGCCATTTCTCCTCTCTTCTTCTGTCTCTTCTGAAATCTAGTAAACCTACTTCTGTAGACTCCTGGACTCGCACCTTCTCCTGTCTTGATCTTTCTCTTTGCTCGTCTTCTCTTTATGTAGATTTCACAAGGTGGGTTCTTGATGACCTCCATAACAATGACCATTTCCCCATCCTTGTCACCTTTTTCTCTTTTCACCCTCCCCTCTCCTTTCATAGGTGGCAGTTCAACCCGTCCTCTTAAAAATAACGTCACTTTTGGCTGGTATGTGCGATAAGGCTAAATTTGGACGTAATTTGAAATGAAATCGACTCACAAAAGTGACGTTCTGTTCCGTTTTCTATTTGAGTAGTCCGGCGTACGCGCAGAGGTTATAAGAGGACACTTTAAATTAACGTTTTTCATAACGTTTTGAAACTTTATGAGAATTTCCTGCCCACCTAACCTATCAGAGGACCCTTAACTTACTGTTGTGGAAAAAAAAAATCCCAAATTTATTTTCATTTTTTTTTCATTTTCAAATTACGTCCAAATTCGGCCATACGGGTAAACGGCCAAAAGCGACGTTCTTTTTAAGAGGACAGGTTGGGCAGTTTGCCAAGGTTGACTGGAATCTATTCATCCTCCATGCTACTCTTTCCGACCTCTCTGCTCTGCCTCTCCCTGGAGCTCTCCTCCTTTTTAATGACACTGTGTCCGACGCTGCCCTCCGCTCTATTCCTTGCTCTGCTTTCACGGGGCATGTGGAAGTGCGTTCCCTAATGGAATGCGGACTGTGCTCGGGCTGTCCGCTGTCAGCGTGCAGCCTGGAAGAAACACCGACGCCGACAGACGGCTGATTCTTTTATTTTGCTTCAGAAGGTGAGTGCGGTAGCCCATAGGACTATCCGTACAGCTAAACGTTAGAGTTGGAAATCTTATGACTCCCCCATTACATCCGATATTCCTCTGCTGCAGAGCTGGAAGAAAATCCACATGGTAGCGGGTAAGTTTGTTCCAGATGTCTCACCAGTCCTTAACCTCGTTGCTACTCTTGTGGCAAATCCAGTGATGGTCGTGACCAAACTGGGTTTCCACTTTTCGACTGTTAGCTCCGGTTCTCATCTTAATACTTCCTTCTTCGTAAGCCCATTCTTGAATCTCATCCCTTAGATTTCCGACTTCCTTATAATGATCCCTTCTCTGTCTCCGAACTTCAGTCTGCTTTGGCCCTTTATGGTTTATGGCAGCAGACTCAGATGACATTCATTATGAGATGCTGTGCCATCTCCCTCCATGCGCATCTCAGTATTTATTGAATCTGTATAACCATATCTGAGAGTCGTCGTCAGTCCCTGAGGACTGGCTCAATGCGGTTGTTCTCCCTATTTGGAAACTGGGGTCTCTAGGGACATCCCTTAAGGACTTCCATCCCATTGTCCTCACGACTTGCATCTGTAAACTCTTTGAACGTATGGTCAATGTCCGTGTGATGTGGTTCTTGGAACATTATCAACACCTCTACCCTTCCCACTTTGTTTTTTGCAAGTGCTGCAGCACGTCTGATGTCTTGGTGAACTTGGAGGTCTATATTCGTACTGCGCAAGACCTCCATCGTTGCTGTTCTTTTCGGCTATTGAGAGAGCTATGTGAAGAAATCCACAAGAACCGTGATGAGGGTTCGAACCTACGTCCAGGATGATCCCAGACGCACCTTAGTCGATTGCGCTACGATATGGTTAAAAGAATTGAAATCGGGAGTACTACTGCCCTCACACAGATCCCCCAGTCTCTCCGAGACACGAACTGGGGGTTTACACAATTCCTCAATGCACCCGGGCTCTGTCAACAAGCTGTTCTACCATTTTAACCTGAAAAAGATGTACGACACCACCTGGAGATTCCATATTCTGTCCCAACTTCGTTCTTTTGACCTTCGTGGTAATCTCCTTCTCTTCCTCTTTAGTCGTTCCTTTAGAGTGAGGTTTGGTACCACTCTCTCTGCCTCTTCGGTAATATGAGGGTGTGCCCCAGGGTAGTGTTCTGAGCACTACTCTTTTCCTGGTTCCCCTCAATGGTCTTCTTTCCTCTTTTCCTTCTGGCATCTTCTCTGCTCTCTATGTCGATGATCTTACCCTCTGCTGTCGAGGTGATGATTCGCCTTTCGTTCAACGGCGGCTTCCATTTGCAATTGATGCCGTGTCGTCTTGGGCTACCGATCATGGTTTCAAGTTCTATACAACTAAAACTTGTGCTATTACTTTTATTCAGAATCAGATCGTTCTTCGTCTCCCCTCTTTCGCTTTATGGTCCACCCATTTTTGTACAAAAATTATGCTAACCTTTTGGGGAGAATCTTTGACTCTTGATTGTCTTGGTCGCCCCATCTCTCTTTCCTCTGAGTTTAATGTTCTAAGGCCCTTAACTTACTTAAGGTCTTGTCCCATACTTCTTGGGAAGCTGATAGGCTTACTCTCCTCTCTTTACATTCCTCTCTCGTTCTGTCTAAACTCGATTATAATTGTCCTGCTTAGTCGTCTGCTTCTTCTTCTACCCTTCGCTGTCTTGACGCTCTGCACCATACTATGTTACGCCTCAGCTCTGGTGCCTTTCGTTCGACTCCTACCCTAAGCCTGTATGTTGAAATTGGCGTCTTGTCTCTACAGGATCGTTGTGATCGCTACTGTCCTCGCTCCTTTGTACGGTGCTTACAACACACTCACTCTTGCTTCTTTACCTTGCCTTGACCTTTACCCTCCTATGATTCCTGTTCCTCTTCACCACCTACCTCTTTCTGTACAGTTGTCTCGCTTACAAAATGCTCCTTCTGTTCGTGTTACCAATATTATACCTCGTGTCGTTCAATCTTTGTCCCCGTGGAATGTCCCCCTTCCTAAATTTTGCAAAACCTTGACCCACGTGACTAAAGCTTTTACCGCTTCTACAGTTTTGAAACGCTTTTTCCTTGAACACTTTTCTTCACACTCCCACTCCATTTCCATCTTCACCTATGGGTCTAGGTCTGCAGACGGTGTAGGCTACTGTTGTTTTTCCTGACCACACCTATATGTGTCGCCTGCCTCCGGAGACTAGCATCTTCATGGCAAAACTTTATGCTATTCTCTATGCTCTTCGTCAGTTCCTTTCTCACTGTCAATCCTCCTTTGTGGTTGTAGTTGACTCTCACAGTGCTCTCATGGCTCTAGAGTCCTTTGATCTAGTCCATCCTGTGGTGGTCGAGATTCAACACTGGCTGTTTCTTATCTCCAGTAGATTTAAGACAGTGGAGTTTTGCTGAGTTTCCAGCCATATTCGTGTGTCCTTAAATGAGCATGTGGACACTGCCTCTAAGGAAGCTACCCGTATCTGTCCCATCTTTCGTAAAGGTATTCTTTATTTCGACTTTTACCCAGTTATTCATTCTTGCCCGTTGGCAGGGTCGTTCGCCTCCTGTTACTGGTAACAAACTGTGCGCCTTTAGGAGTAGTGTATCCCTGCGGCCTTCCTCCTACCACCGGAACCGGCGGTGGGAAACTGCTCTGGGGAGGTTACGTATTGGTCATACACGTTTAACTAACGGGCACTTAATGGAGCGCTGCCTTGCTCCTTATTGTCCAAACTGCATTGTCCCACTTACGTCGTGCATATCCTTGTTGAATGTCCTGACTTCCAGGAGGTACTTGTGTCTTGCTTCCCAACTGTCCCTCACAGTCACTTGTCCCTCGATAGAATTCTTAGTCAATCGGATAGCTTTGATATCGTTCGCCTTATGTGTTTTTGTTCTCATATTGGCATCCTTAGTGATATTTAGCACCCTATGATTATCCCACACATTTGATGGTGCTACATAGTCTAACGGGCTTGGTGCCTTCTTTTGATAATTACTTACTTGGCCTTGGGCATATAATATTAAAAATTAGTGAAAAATCACCCCTGTACATAATTTATTTTGAACATTCAGCATGCGCAACTATCATCTTTATGGAAGGTCGTTGAGTAATCTGGAAGCCGGTAGTTGGATCAGACTGACTGGACGAGTCATCAGGTAAAGACTTGATAGTAAAGCCAGTAGACGAGGTTGAACAAGATGAAGAGAGCTGGGAAGAGCGCCCTGCACGTCTTGTCAATCCTCTTGGCAAGCACAGCTTCCTGACGCCACAGCGACGGCAGGCACGCTAGGCCCACGTCACTGAGAGCGCGCGAGCACACACCGGGGTCAAGGTCGTCATTGAGGTCCTCACTGCTTGCCTCAGCGGCATGACCGCCGCTAGTCACGCGGTACACGTCAGGAGCATGACCACAGCTCGAGGCGCCAGCAACCAGATCCTCTCTCTGACGGGTCTCCCCACCACTGCTGTTCCTGCGCCGCTTCTGCTCGTCCTCGGCTCTTCTGGTTTCCTGTAAGAACACACACCAGTCACGTGGGCGATATAAACACGTGCACGTTTGAGGTCAATGGCTACTGTACATAAGTGTTCAAAGTTTAACTCTTCTTGTAACATATAACCCAGGAATTCTGAGCAGAGGTCTACTTTATTCCCTTACTCCCTTTGCCACTTGTGCGGGTTGAAGGTGTAAGTGTATGTACATTTCACGTACATTTCATGGAAGTCCCCATGTGCTAGGACTCAAGTATACTCAAGGATTCAAGGAATGGAATAAAATTGAATAAGTTTAGATTTAGGAAAGACCTGGGTAAATACTGGTTCGGTAACAAGGTTGTTGATTTGTGGAGCCAATTACCGTGTAACATAATGGAAGTAGGAGCCCTTGATTATTTCAAGCATAGGTTAGACACATATGAATGAGATAGGATGGTTATAAATAGCTGCCGTGTATGGACCAACAGGCTTTCTGCAGTTACCTTTATTCTTATGTTCGTATTATTCGATCTATTAAATTTGTATGGTATACTACGTAGGTGTAAGAACATAACCCATTCATACCCATTCATTTAGGCACAGTCAGTCACCAGTCAGGCACAGTCAGTCACCAGTCAGGCACAGTCAGTCACCAGTCAGGCACAGTCAGTCACCAGTCAGGCACAGTCAGTCACCAGTCAGGCGCAGTCAGTCACCAGTCAGGCGCAGTCACCAGTCAGGCGCAGTCAGTCACCAGTCAGGCACAGTCAGTCACCAGTCAGGCGCAGTCAGTCACCAGTCAGGCGCAGTCAGTCACCAGTCAGGCGCAGTCAGTCACCAGTCAGGCGCAGTCAGTCACCAGTCAGGCGCAGTCAGTCACCAGTCAGGCGCAGTCAGTCACCAGTCAGGCGCAGTCAGTCACCAGTCAGGTGCAGTCAGTCACCAGTCAGGCGCAGTCAGTCACCAGTCAGGCGCAGTCACCAGTCAGGCGCAGTCACCAGTCAGGCGCAGTCAGTCACCAGTCAGGCGCAGTCAGTCACCAGTCAGGCACAGTCAGTCACCAGTCAGGCACAGTCAGTCACCAGTCAGGCGCAGTCAGTCACCAGTCAGGCGCAGTCACCAGTCAGGTGCAGTCAGTCACCAGTCAGGCGCAGTCAGTCACCAGTCAGGCGCAGTCAGTCACCAGTCAGGCGCAGTCAGTCACCAGTCAGGCGCAGTCAGTCACCAGTCAGGCGCAGTCAGTCACCAGTCAGGCGCAGTCAGTCACCAGTCAGGCGCAGTCAGTCACCAGTCAGGCGCAGTCAGTCACCAGTCAGGCGCAGTCAGTCACCAGTCAGGCGCAGTCAGTCACCAGTCAGGCACAGTCAGTCACCAGTCAGGCACAATCAGTCACCAGTCAGGCGCAGTCAGTCACCAGTCAGGCACAGTCAGTCACCAGTCAGGCGCAGTCAGTCACAATGAGAAGGTATGTTAGATGGAGCACCAATTGCCTTGATACTGAAAATTGTGAGTGAACTGGGGCTATTGAGGGAGCTATGTGAAGAAATCCACAAGAGCCGTGATGAGGATTCGAACCTGCATCCAGGATGATCCGAGTGCTACTGCCCCTCACACAGATCCCCCAGTCTCTCCGAGGCACAAACTGGGGTTTACACAATTTCCCCCATGCACCCGGGCTCTGTCAACAAGCTGTTCTACCTCTTTCTCTATACCTTTACCTTTAACTTTATTACAATACACATAGAAGTCACAATAGTGCGATATATCATATGAACAAATCCTCAAGGGCCATGATGAGGGTTCGAACCTACGGCCAAGATGATCCCAGACTTGCCTTAGTCGATTGCGCCATGACATGGTTAAAAGAATTGCAACCGGGAGTGTTATTACCCTCACATCTGGACGTAGGTTCGAACCCTCATCACGGCTTTTGTAGATTTGTTCTTTTGTGGAATCACGCTATTGTGATTTTTGTGTGTATACCAATATGAAGCTCTGAGGACAGAGTTGGATTGGAGCTACGACATGCAAGAGCCAAGACACGAGCCAAGGGTTTGCTATCCGGAAGCAGGAATTGGTGATATAGTAAACAACATGAATGATATTATGGATGGAAATGGGAACAAACTCATTATTTGTATCAGTGCAGGTGGAAAAGATGTTGGATGAGTTAGGAATGAGGCACTGATACAGATGTTTAAGACAGCCATAGAATTAGTTAGGAGCAAGGGAAGAATCCCTTGCATATGTGGCATTCTTCCAAGAAAGGGAGTTGGAAATGAATGGTTGTCGAGGGCACTTGGTGTTAATTGCCGACTGAACAAAAAATATAAATCAAATGAAATATCATTCAATGATAAATGGGAACACTTCTTTGGAAGGAATGACATGTCTGCTCGGGATGGGGTACATTTATCTAGGGCTGGAGTTGTTGCTGTTGCCAACTCGTTGGAACCTGTGGTTGGAGGGGTTTGTTAGGGTTTAAACTCTTAATAAATAGTGGTATGGGAATTGAAATGGAGAAATTAGGAAATAAAAGTATGTGTTGGTGAGGAAAGAAGGCAAAATGATCGGGGAACGAGAAGGGCCTCAAAATATCAATAAGCTTAAGGTATATTACACGAACAGTAGCAGTCTAAAAAACAAAATTAACGATTTAAATGCTCTTGTTTGAAATAAACAATAGATATTATTGCACTTACCGAAACGGATGAATGTAGAAAACAGAGAACTATTAGCGGAATATCCAATAAACGAATTAAAACTATTTCACATATATATTAGACTAGGAGGGGGTCGAGTCGAGGTCGAGGGAGGGGGAAGACGTACCGTGCGCGCTCCGTTAAAATCGTATCATTAACCGGGATTCTTAGGACTACTGTCATGGATTACTGATTACAGACATAACAAAGTGCATAGTGACCCGCTGGAAAATTTAAGATAGTCATTAACAATAGAATTTTGTGTTAAATAGAGAAAAAACGGGAGACCACGTGTGAGCCAGTGAACGAGGCTTTGTGTACATGCGTGTATTAGGAAAAAAAAAATAGTGAACGGTGATTCGTGGAACAGTGATGTGGAACGGGTATCACAACAAAATATAAGTTGGAAGTGAAGGAAAATCGTGCATAGAATATTATAAATATAGAATAGTGGCAAGAGGCGGCATCAGTGGGTATAAATCGGGTAACTGGAAACTGGTGACATCAACCTGGGACAACAAGAGGTCACCTGTACCGACCGGGGACCAGCCTCGCTACCCTACGCTAAGTACCTGCCATAAAGTTTGAACAAAATAACATACATAATATTACAAATATACGGTATACATATAATATTATAAATATTAAACATATAAATATATATACATATAATTTTATAAAGAGTTAAAAGGACTGACATCAACAAGTGATCCATACAGTGAATCTCAAATACAACATAATACACCAGACAATGGAGAGGTGTGGCGAGTGTTCGGGAGTACTGGGAAGACGTAATGCAGGCGTAACGTGCTGCATCTGTAACATAAGATTTCACCTGGGCTGTACATAATTAACTCCAGGATGCATAAAAAGGCAAGGAATTTACTGGGTATGCAAAGATGACAGATTAATGTTAGAGAACATAACTAAACTGATGAAAAACATTCCCGAGTCACAGAGATTATCATTCATAGGCAGGCTACCAGTGATATATGCGGACTGGGAAAAGTCAACATTGGATAACGACCAAAACTCAGGAACAGATAGTTTAGAGAACCGCAGCAGTAGTGTGGAGGAGGAGACTATTGTGGTACAAAATAACAGCAATATTGCAGAGCCAGATAATATAAACGATGAGAGCAACAGTGAGACAGAGTGCATAGATGAAGGAATTGGGACGAAAAACGGAGATGGCTCCTATAAAGAGGTAGACAAGACAGTCACAGATATAAATACCTTGAAAAACGCAAAACTGGAACACTTTTGCAAATTCTACGCTAAAGGAATATGCAAATATGGAAAATTAGGAGTAAAATGCCATTTTCTGCATCCTCGAAAATGCAGGAACATGTTGGTGAGGGGTACATGCCGTTTTGGAACAGGGTGTAGATACTTCCACCCTAAATTATGTCAATTTTCAATTAGGGACAAAAAATGCTACAATCTTCAGTGTCCGGAATTCCATGTGAGAGGTACAGAGCGTTATAGACGGGAAGATCAATATGACACTACTGGAATTTTTTTAGAGGAAGGCAGAAACAGAGTATTAAATATAAGAGAGAGAAACAGTCAGATGGAACCGCTACAGGATTACAGAGGGGAACGGAGATACCCACAAGACTAGAATTCGAATTATCAACAAGCACACAGGTACTACACCAGACAACACCCGTCCTACTACCAAAACTGGACGAATCACTTCCAAAACGACACACCCTGGACGCAAACACAGTGGCCTCCTTACCAGAGCCTCAGATATTAACACCAAGTAAAGCATCCAGCACACGATAACATCATTTATATTTGCCAACATCCAGGGTATAAAAACACGCAAATCCAACAAAGTTCACTTTATAGATGGTCTCCTTCATGAGGCAAATGCAGTGTTTGCAGCCCTAACAGAAACCCACACAAAGGACTACCATGATGGTGAAATATGGATCTCAGAATACATTCTTTTCAGATGTGATAAGAAACACCGGCTTCAGGGTGGGGTCAGCCTCTACATCAAAGACACACTCATCTGTACTGAGCTGCTAAACACCTCAAATGATATGGTGGAAGTGCTGATAATCAAAATAGAGATTTTAATTTAAATGTAGTTATTGTCCTTGTATATAAGTCACCGGAGGCAAACCCTCAGCAGTTTAAAGAGCAACTAATGAAAATAGAACACTGCTTGGAGCAAAATCTCACAAATCCAGCTCCGAACATCATCCTGCTTGGGGACTTCAACCTACGACACCTGAAATGGAAGCACCTGGCTAATACAGTAATATCAGAAAGAATACCAGGAAGTAGCCTAAATGAACAGGCACATGCAAATGACCTGCTA